CTGTAAATAAACCAACCCATCCAACCCCAGGGGAGGACATCCATCACTCAGTAATCTCGTGTGTGGGAAATTAACGTCTCCTGCCCCAACCCTACGTTTGGCTCTATGGAGGGCGCCAGTGATGCAATTCCTTTTCCATTTTGTAGGGACTTCCGATTTCCAATGTATTGGTAGTTTACCTGGTTTCTTGAAGACGCTGCAATTGAACTTGTTGTTATAAATGAAGGCAGTATCGAGGAAGTGGTCGGGGTTTTCCTCGACAGTGAAAACAATGTTAGGGTAATAGTGATTTAGTCGTTCAAATAGAGCCTCACGCTCGTCCTTTTTCTTCTTTGAGAAAGTGTCTTTCTTTAAAAAAAAAAAAAACAGTCAATATCCAACCACATCAACATTGCAATGTCACTTTCTGGTTCTTTCTGAGCACTGTTTCACAGTTAGCAATTCTTGGCAGAACAGGAAGCAACTCATGCGCACTTATTGCCCTTTTGTTTAGCAAATTGTTTTATTCATCCGATGTGAATATTTCTGTAATAAGCAGTCCACCAGGCTGAGTCAGGCGTGGGTGTACCAGATAATTGTTCAAGGAATCTTACTAGGCAACAGGATCTATGATTCAATCACACAAAACTATCCTCAAATCTTTGGTGTGCCACAACCTCTGCAAGTCCCTAAAGCACTGAACAATCAGTATCATCGACCATACCACTGTAGGTCCTGAACTCCCTGTCAGCATTAATCCTGAAGCAATTCCGGCTTCTGTTTTCATTTGAGTTCCAACACCGTTGTACTTATTTCAACGTCCCCAGGATTTTTTCCTTTTGATAGCACATCCACGAGAACAATGGATTTCATGGGGCTTTTGCTGAGTAGCAGCATTCATAGGAGCTTCTCTCATGCCATATGGAAATAACTAATTTCCAAACACTCTTGGGACTGTAACGAATGTTAAGTTCCAGCGAAAGCTATTAACGCGATATTTTGCAGCGTTTTCAACTTGTTCATGTAACGCCGTGTAGGATGGGTGTGCTTTCTCTTCGCATTGATAAAAAGTTCCATTTTTCTTCGAGATTCACATTTGCTACCAAAGCATGGTATTATTTACCTTCTATCAATTTGAATCTCAGCTTATTATCTAAAATAGAGGTAAATTATACTCAAAGAAATTAAGCTTTACAATGTGTTTCTTTACCGAGTACTGAAAGTTCTTGGCTCTAGAGCAAGCAAATAAACATTACCCAAAAGTAATACGTTGAACATGTCGACGAGTTTAGTTTAAAGAAGTTATTTTCAAATAGCGTCCTTACATTCCAGTTTGAAAGGCAAAATATATCTACGAAACACACAGTTAAAAATGCGCCGACATTTCGTTGATCAAACGATCGAATCCTTGGGTTTCACCCACGTGACCAATACTTTAGCAACGGTTACTATCCGCCATCTTGGTGTCCCTCGAGCGTAAACAAACCGTATCTAACGAAGAGTTCATGTGAGAAAGAAGGGATGGTTTTATGCATTATTGTTGGCTGTTCAAGCAAAAGTGGAAAGCATAAAGACTAAGGATTTTTTCGTATAATAATTTAATAATTTTATTATTTCTATAGCGCAAAATTCATTATATATATGATCTAATGCGCTATACCTAAGATCATCACAAATCAAGGGGAAGAACAGGAGGAACTAGAAGTTGTTGTATGGTTCGAGGCTTGCGGCTGTTGTAGATCCTCGATTTTTTGGTCGAGCTTTTCTTTGAGCTTCTTAGCCGATGAGAAATCGATGTCTTTAGCCCTCGCATACGGCACTTCATTGACCTATGTCGGCAAAATCCATGAGCATTTTACCTGAGTGCAAGTAAGCTTGGGGTGTCACGAAAACTCACACCCCGAAAACTCAGAC